AGAGAGAGAGAGAGAGAGAGAGAGAGAGACCAGGTGTCTTCTCCTGCTAACTATAAATAGAAATTATTCGATTCCTTCCTGCAACAGTAATTACGTGCGCGACTCGCACGGAATTGATTTAAACACAGCTCTGCCAACGAATACTTAAAGATATCCAGCAGATATTTCCCTTTACAATATTTATTACACAAAATCCTCTTTTTCTGAAAAAAGTACTTTGATTGGCACTACTTGATTTTTTGTTTGTTTGTTTAATCTATTTCTGTTTTGGTACAAACAGGCTTACTTGACGAGACAGATGGCTTCAAGCTTGGAACACATATTGTTATCATCCATACTGCTATTACTTCTTGACAGCTTAATTTACCTGAACGTGATTGTACCTTTCGCAGAAACCGCTACATCTGTTTCAAGCTTCTTTGAGAGTCACGGAGGTTGGTTAAAATATTAGCTTAATTTCAAGAACAATATGCAGTTAGGATAAAAACCCCTCAGGCTTCTCAAAGTCAAATTTTCGTAACCTTGAGCCCTTGTGTGGCTAGCAAGAGACGTAATTCATGTAATTCGGATATCACTGAGAATTTTTACTTCCCTTCTTAAAATGCGAACTATGAAAAGCAAAACAGTCTGCCTACAAGTGCTTCATAAAACACTGTGTTTAATTGTTTACCGTTATCCTCTCCTTGATCATTAAACCTTGAGATTAAAACTTAGGAAGGACGCAATTAAGGTGTGCGCATGCTCCTTATAGTTTTACGACAGCACGCACTCTGAGGACCGTAAAGCCTAAGTAATCTGCGCGCTAGAAGGAAAATGTCAGTCAATATTTCACGACGTCAACATGAGCACAAAAAGCAAAACTGACAGTAAATTTACTCGCGTCTCCTCCCGAGAAATTCCGTAAATAAACATTTTACTTTAGTTGGTGCTTCAGGAAAACCTTCTGATCAGTTTTTCCGCAGCGGACATAAACTTGCAGAAATAAAAGAATAAACTTCCTGTACAAACCCAATTTTTTTCGTGTTTACAATTGGTATCCCACCGCATTCGTTGTACTGTGGAAATTTTGGAAGATTTCACCGGAGGAAATTCAAGAAAATCACAAATAAAGCTAAAATTTAAAGCCAAAATTTAAACAGAGATTATGGTAAAACACAATTTCATCATTGCTCGTTACATTTAATAAGTTTAAGAGGACTGGGTGTAAAAACGAATGCAAACACAGCATTCAAAACATAACACTAGCGCGCGCAACGCGATAAATGATTACCTCGTGAAGCTACTTTAAAAGCCTGAAGCTACGCGGGAAACATGTTTTGAAAGCAAACTTGGCTTTAGTAACATATTATGGGGGATTTTTAATGTGTGTTTGCTTGGGATAAAGGAAGCTTTCCTTCTGCCCTTCTAGGAAACATTCAACAGAACATCGTTGCCCAAACAAAATTTTCATTAGTCTCTTCTTGCACGCTTGGGTAGCCAATCACAACGCAAAATGTGGTCTAATTTGAACTAACAAATGAATATTATAAACAGCGAGAGTAATAACTGTCTGTGATAAGAACCACTGTGCAACAACTCTGTCTGATAAGATGCATGTTATCAATTTTCTAATACAATTTAACTCTCCGCATATTACATGTTGTTATTTGCAGATTACGCTTTACTTGGCCATGTTATCGGTGTTTGTACAGGAGACCAATTGAAGTGCGGGTTGCAGTGTTTGAGAAATGAAAAGTGCCGATCATACAACTGTTTCGCTGCAGAGAGCCTAAATGCACAAATCTGTCGTTTAAACAAAGAAACGCGATTTTCCAGACCTGAAGACTTTAAGAAAAACCGGGGCTCAACTTACTTCGAGCTAAAGCAGGTTGGTATTATCACAATATTTCTTAAAATTGACAAAATGATATCGCCAAGACTTACATTCTCTCTATATGTCCCTTCGTTTATCCGTGAAGCATAGGTCATCTACATGTACGCTCATCAGTATCCTGTCATATTCCGGTTCAATACCCTAAAAGGTATCAGAAAAGCTCCTGCTGTGGAACTATTGAGGCTGAACACCAAGAGGTACCAAAACCGCGTTTTTAACCCCCCTAAAAGGTACGACGTGCACCACCATCCTTTTTACATGGGTGTCCCCCCGGGTCCTCTTCCAGTTATATTTACGCTTTTCTCGTTTTCTTTTCTTTAGCGGGATGCAAAAAGTAAAGAAAGTTAAAGGGTAACCTTACCCTGTTCTCCATAAAATAATATTTCTCTTATGGAGAAGTCAATCGCAGACACGTCTTTTGTTAGCTGTTGAGTCCACACTGTTAGCAGTATCAATAAAATGCCACACTCAGACAAAAGCTAAGTAACGTCCTTTATGATGATGATGATGATGATGATGATGATTATTATTATTATTCCAGATTTCCAACTCGAATTTTGTTTGTGAAAACGACGGGAGATGGAGCTCACATCAGAATTACTGCAAGTGTAATCCTGGGTACGAGGGGATCACCTGTAGCTCAGGTAACTTCTTTTTAGGGACTTTCTAATGCATCATGAATCATGAAAAAAACCCAGTTTAGTTTTGTAGCCTGACCATGGTTGTTTGAAAGTTGAGTGACACTATTCCAGGATTAAACTGAAAAGAGCTGATATTCATTGCTATTTTAATAGCAATGATTTTAAACGTACCATCGAGTTTGAAAGTAGTCCACGTCGAAAATTGAAGACAGAGGCTAGAACAGCAACAACAATTAACAGGTATTTAGACGTGAGAAAAATACAAATAAAAACAAACAAACAAAAAAACACAGTAAGTCATGAAAAAAATCAAACTTGCGCTTTTCCTGGGTTAGGTTAATCTTTATTTGAACAAACTGACCCTGCCTTTTAAATAGGAACTACTTCGAAGCACCACAAGCAACTCATGGTAAAGCTATGTTTTTGTGACGAGTACAACAGATACTGATTGCAATCCATACTCGAATGACATAGTCGCCTCTCAGAACTTAAAGTAATAAGCTAAGACCTTGTAACAGTTAGAAAAAGTCGCTATTTTATATTACACAAAGAAGGACAAAAAACCCGATAACAAATGAACTGTGTTTTTAGTTCAATTTCTAGCGAAGCTCGGTTTATTCTCTACGTTTCCTGGGCATTCCTGTAAGGACATCCGGGATTCTGGAGATTCGGAAGGAGACGGGGAGTACTGGATCGACCCTGCAAAAGATGGAAACCCTATCAAAGTCTACTGTGACATGACAACTGACGAAGGTAAAAAGGAATTATCGATGTTAATCAAGGTGTCTCGCTTCCACGGACGAGGCAGGGTAACTTTTTGCATTTGCCAAGAGCACAGACTGAAGTAGCAGAAAAGTCTTTATTCTTCTGAATGCCAAATTTATACTGAACTGTTTAAAAGCAAATGTAAATATAATTTTCTATTTATATATATATGTAATTTTTGCTTTAACCTTAGTATAGTTTTTACGTTTTTAACATTTTTAACTAATTTTTATATAATTTTTAGACATACTGTAAAGTTAATAATTTTTTATATTAAAAATAAGCATGGCCTCTATTGATGGCAGTTTTATTCATAGAGCTGACAGAGTTACCGTGAAAAAATAAAGTTGTACTTACTTAAGTCAGAAAAATTAATACCTTTTACTTTTCAGTGTTACTTTAAGTTATTCATTAAATACTAAATGGTAAACTTAGGTTTTCCTAATTTCAGGAGGCTGGCTTCTAGTCGCCAATTGGTTAATGGAAAGCTCTACTCCACCTGCTCAGAACTGGGAACCTGAGGCATCATACCGCAGGATCAGCGTCTATCAGAACAACAGAATGGGTATCGGATTAAGCGCCATGAAGGAGCTCAGGACACACCTGTCTTTCACTCAGCTTAGATTCCACTGCAGTAAACAACAGGGACGTACGTTCCACGTGACTACGGTCGCCAACAGCACTGGTGAAGCTGTGGTCCAGTACTTCAGTGATCAGACGAACGTACTTCCCCTTGCTTGCAATTCTCTTAAGAGATTGGATGATGATAACTCTCAGTTGGCCATGCAATGTCATCGGTGGGGTTCACAAAATAACGGGAAATGGGGAAGCCGCAACCACAAAGGAAACAAAAGGATGTACAATCGAGCGGCATTTATTCCTGGCGAGAATCAATGGAATATCGTTAACGGAAAATGGCTGTGCGATGATACGGGAAGCAACGGAGTATCGTCAAGGGATTTTTGGAAAATCTATGTGCGCTGAAATGTAGATAACAATCACAGAACTGTTGACTTTTACATTTTGAGGCATTTGTCCGTTTCTTCTGAAACAAAGCATAATTCCGTTTGAAATGTGAGGCAATTTAAACAATTACTCAGGGTAGCATCATTGAGAGACTTCTGGAGAATCTATGTAAGATGTAGAGTATAATCACAGAAACGCCGAAAAAGAATTCTGTGTTTTGCGGCACTAGGCTGACATTTGCTGTTTTTTCCTTCAGTTGTTCAGATAAAGGACGTTAGTAAATAGCTCTTTCAACAACTAGACCTATGCTGCAAAAGTTTGACCAGCGCTCCACTGAAAACCAGGCAAAAGAAAACAGCTCTTAACTGTTGGCCTGCATCGCTAGGGTCAAAGTGGCTGTGCAATATTTGGGTGGTAAAAGTAACATTCATCAGGAACTAGGGACTCTAAGTGATGAAGTGAACCAAATGGTTGGGATATATAAAAATAGAGTGAGATAAAATGCCACTTTACTATACTAAGTAAGGTTGAAAACACATGCAAAAGAAACCAACTTGAAAATAATGTATCTATGAGTATAATGAGGTCCCTAATTTACCAAACAGGTACACCGTACGGCGAGTGACCTCGTAGACTGGATGATAGGGGTTTGATTGAAATCTCTAAGAGCCTATAATGACAGATAACAGTTCAATTAAACTTACCAATACCACAGGTGCATACGAAGAAACAACTTGGTACGAATCCCTTGTAGGATTCGTTTGTAGTTTCAACAACATCTTGTTGGGTTTGGGCACCTGTATAGTGACGCAGATTGTGGCGAGTGAGACTGTGATCCTCAAAGTTTGTTGAGTTTTGTCGCGGAAACAATCGTCTGTTATTTCTATTCGATGTATCCTCTGGATTTGTCCTTTCACTTCACAGAGGGAGAAATTGCATGGTTTAACTCGATGCACAATTTGTACTCTATTTTGTCGGGAAACTGTAAATTACTTGTAAATACTCCTAACTACGGCTTTTCACTAATAGACAGCCTTGAAGGTTACATACATGCAAAATTATGCTAGATGAAGAAATGAAAATAGAAAACATAAAAAACGTCTTGAAAAGAAAACACGAGATTAACCCTATAACGTTATAATAATATAAAAAAATATATCTTACATAAGATCTAAGGTGACAATGATGGGAAAAGATACCATGTCTGTAATTGATTATTTCACCGGGGTATTAAGTCGTCAGTTTAGCAGACCATACATTCTTTCGTGAGTTTCTCTATCACCATTTTATAGTCTTTCATTTGTTACATGTAGCTATACTTGAGGTCCACAAAAATTATTTGTTTCAGTGGCATGCCTGTAAACTAGCTAAGCTTAGTGCTTGTAGAGCTAAGTGTGTCACCACTATAAATAAGATTTACATTTTACGTTAGTAAACAGGAGATCAGGAAGCAAATGTTCTATTTATTTGTGTACGTAGACTTAACTAAGTCGTAACGTAGTTCACTACTTAATGCTTTGAGGAATACCTTTTCAAACATGTTAGCCATCAAGTTCAAAGAACGAAAATCATACCCATGCCGGATGGTGCTTGGACATCAGATCTGAATTAGCATATATTTTCACGCTTTTGTTGAACTGTTCGCTTTTTCCTTAGTTTTCTGATTTGATCAAGAAAGCATCCTAAACACTCAGGACAGTGTTTTAACACATGTCAAAACAACTCGACGTTTTCCAAAAATACCAGGGCGTCGTATTTTCACCTCTCCTCTGGGTGTTTGGAAATTTGGTGGAACACGTTCTGTCATGTTTGACATATACTATACCAAATCACAATTCAAGGCTTAAGATGGAATTGAATTCTTACCATTGATAAAGTCAGTTTTTAATCGTAATTAACTGATTTTCGCTCTTTAAACTGGTGAAAGCGTTAGCCTAAGTTCAATTAGATTGCATTTCGTCAGGCCAACAGCCAATCTTTCTTAATCAGTAAGATTTTGGGAGATTTCTGACCCCTTAACACCGTCCTTTACTTAAGAAAGAGGGAGCTTAAGAAAACAACGACGGCAACGGCTACTGCAACGTCGCTAAACAGAAGGTTTAAGGACGGTGCCTACTAAATACAAAGGTTTTTGCGCCAGGTAAGGACCACGCGGAAAAAGTAGATCTTTGCAAGGGCTATTGGAATCCACAAAGAAAAATTGGGGTAGCCACGCATTTTTTCGAGATAATTAGCCTTGAATCTTAACAAAAATGCTGACATCAGCATTTTTCTGAAAAAAAAAGGAAAGGATATTTCTCCACAGATTTCCTTAGAATTCGCCTTTACACACAGAAATGCACTTGCAAAACACATCTATAACGATCTTAAAACTGCATGGTAAATGGTAACATAAAAACCATTTTTGGTAAGTTTTTTTTTATAACAACATCGCTGCAACAGCGCTTTTAGCATTCTGATAGTCTTCCTCTGGTTCAGTTAAAATACAGTCTAAATACTTTTTGCTCACCACCAGAAACCAGTCACTTATTGAATAGGCTTGCCACTTCCATTTCATAACATAAAATGTAGGGGTAACCACGCGTTTTTTAAAGTTATTGATCTTTTTTTTAAACTTTTACGGTGCCCGCTACGCTGTTTCCTGTCACCTCCCCAGTAAGTAAAAAAATTGCGTATCTCGCACTTGTTTTGAGTGCGCACTACGCCATCTGCAGGTACATGTTCACGGTTGGATTTCAGTATAATTTTCGACAGATGACAGCTAGTTTTTCAGCTGGAAGACGTTAACAATAAGTGGTTAGCGATATGCTGCTATTCTGGTGTTCCTGGTTTAAGTATAGGTTCATTAAACTTGATTTGGTCACAGTGGGAAAATTTTGCTTTCATTTTAGTCGTGTACTTGGTAGCGTAGTTGATTGCGTCAATGTCAACCCTAGCGCGCGCGCACGCTTTAACTATGTCTTGCGTGATGCGCAGAACGTGTGCGCACTAACAAAAGTAGGCACCGTCCTTAATGAGCAGAACATTGGCTGTGCCCGTGCGTTATAATTCTTGGTACATTTCTTTGCCGTCCTCTGCAAAACAACAACGTGAAATTCTGCGTTGTCTGTAGAACGTGAACCACGACGGCTAATTTTTTAAAATTTTATTTCGAATTTATCGATGTGTCCTAGATTCAGTTTCGTGATAGCTTTGATAGTGATAAACGAAGTAAATGACTTTGGGCACCTCGAGATTCGTAGGTAAAATATAAACTCATTTTTTAATAGACGTTGTCCTCGGCGTCGCCGTCGTGGTTTCTTAAGCTCCCTAATGGTATGCGTGCAGCGTGCAACTATCGAGTTTTATATAATAACCCAAGTTATCCTCGCATTTTGATTGGTTCTCGCCTATGATCTTTTAAAGGACAGACGCACGATTGACGTCATTATTTCAAAGTTTTCCCCTCTGTGTTTAAAATGGCGGAAAGTTTTGACAATTTAGATACCATTTTACGTGACTGGGGAAAGATAAGGTACAAAAAAGTCTTGTCGAGGCATTGAACAAGTACGAGAGTCAGGAAGAAGAAAGAAAAAGCCGTGTCTTTCCTAGAAAATGACTCAGAAAAAATACTCGAGCAGTCTCAGTCGGCAGTCGAGAGAGACTAAACCAAACACAAAATTGGTCTTGAAATTACTTTAAGGTAAGAAACCATTGCTTTGTCTCGAATTTAAATAAACCAATAAGCAAAATGTTATGTCATTAATTTATTTAAAAATTTCAACTTTCCTCAGTCCGGCAAAATGATTGTTGACACAGTTTGATGCCAGGAATTAAACATCAAAACATCATCAGTTTAAATAAACACATAAGCTTAAGTTTAACCTTGTTTTCCGACGCGAATGTTCCAGTCCGTTTCAGGGCAAAGTAGCGAGAAAAGCAGAGCTCACTACAGCTCACGGCCAACTGTATCCCAGCTATAGGTTGTCTCCGACACTGTACTATATCAAACTGATTTGAAAATCACCAACCACAGAGGAAACAAATTTCCACCATCACTAACGCTCCTTTCATACAAAACTCGAATCGAATGGCCTCCAGTGTTGACCACATCCGCAAGTTTTCCGAGCGTATTTTTTAAACTCCTGCAATATGCAAGACAGCATCCAAGCTTTTCGGCTCTCAGGGCTGCTCTGGTGACAAAAACTGACCTGACTTTTCAGCAGTTTCTTTAAGATTTGTAGATTTCGCAGTTCAATTCTGCTGTCGCTGTAAGTTTTCATTCCACGTGAAGCGACGCTCGAGTCATGCTTGACAGTGGCGTGATTTTCCTGGACCAATCACAATTCCTTGCTACGCATAGCAACCAATGAGATTGCTTCATTTTGTATAGACAATAGATTACGTCAAATGCCTTTTTTTCGTGTTCGCCAAAGTGGGCAAAGGCCCGCTTTCGAGTTATGTTGAAAGATTTTGAAATAAAAAAAGCTTTTTCTGTTGTTTCTTTATTGTATAAAACAAATAGATTCCATGTTGCCGTGAGTCTGTTCAGTAGTAGATCACAGAAGATGTCAAACCGTGGTAAGAACATCAGTGACATACTCGGCTATCGCCTCGTATACCACTTATTTATTCTTACCACATTTTGACGTCATCTGTGATCTATTACTGAACAGACGCACGACAACATGGAATCTGTTTGTTAAATGGATGCACGCGGGAGGTTGCTAAGCACGAAAGAAACATAAGTCTAGCTTCCTGAGTGCTTAGCAAACCTCCCAAGTGCATCCATAACTCGATAGTTGCACACTGCACGCTTACCATTTCTTTTATAACATTGAGACTTTTGGGTACGTTTTCCTTTCCCCTTTCGTTTTAAAGTTGATGAGTTGTGCGTCTAAGGTTGAACTTGAACACATAAATGGCTTTTAAAAATGATTTCTGTCACTTCCGTTACGTGGTAAAATAAGCTTAAATGAACAGAAGACTGAGGCCTAAAGGGAAATGTCAGAAATGTAAGCTTATATTTGTGCACGATGCAGTCTTTCCTTCGAGCGGCTGTTTCTTCAATTCACGATCGAGCGATCGACGGGCGTTCGAGCAAAACTAAAACCCGGGAACTAAAATAATTCATCAGAAACTACCAATATTTGATAAAACTTCATTTATTAAAGCTCAGAAAAACTTTTACCTTTAACGTTTTTGGAACAGAAGGATTTCGTATGTAAGACTTCACAAACAGAGATTTGTTAAAGCTTTCTTGTTTTGTTCGCCAAATGCATTTAAACGTCTTTCGATGCCAGAAAGGTTTTACAATGAAAGCTTGTGCTGAATTTTATTACAAAATTCTCTCTAAAATTCCCGCTATGCATTGCTAACCTCGAAAGGTTGATACAGACCAGTTTGTTGTTTTTTTTGGTCCATCGCCGAGTGCCGAGTGCCTTTGTTCAACCAGCCGATTCAACTCCTGTTCGCTTAAATTCGCAAATTTCTTAGATGGAGGCCCGGCAAAAAACTTAAGCTTGAAATTTGGTAGCTCACAGGAATAATATTCCTCATCTCCGAAACAATTATTAGAATTTTCCATATTTTAGAAGAAGAAAAATAGGAATTATATTTTACATCGACAAAAAAAAAACTGCCGAGAAAAAGTACAAATAAACAAACTGACGTCAGCGTGCAACCCACGGGCAAATGGATCGAGCTTATTATAGCCAATCAGAGCGCGAGCTTCGCTAAGGCTATGTTTTCAAATTAAAGGAAGTGTGACACATGTTGTTTTGTGAAATAGTTCTCAAAATACCATCGACGTTTTTAACAATTCATCAGTTGATTGACGTAGTCATCCCATTTATAGTACTGTTTATTTTTGGAACGTTGTAGAAAAGCAATTATGGAGACAAGCAACAGCTGTCACATTCGCAAGCCATTCATTCCACTTTTTAGAATCATTTTTTCCACTTATGAGGAAAAAGTATGCAGATACATGTTAGGTTGAACTTTGTTTTAAATATTGACATCATTATTAACTTTTTTGGGGGGAAGTCTTGTAAAAAAATTTCGTTAGAAATTGTAGTTTAACTCAGTTGAAGTTTAGTAAAATTCGTAATAATGTATTCGTTAAAGCAACGATGCACACCATGTTGAACAAGAAATAAAACAGATTTAATTTTTTTCCCAAAGCACCCGTACAAGCTCAGTTTGGGATTAAAAATAATCGCTATTTGTTTAGTTTTTAGCATGTCATTGCTATTTCTTTACTCGCCATATGTTCATCAGATTTTCGCGACACTTGACTTGATTAACATCAAAAAGGGAGTTCGAATCTATTTTGACTGATCGGAAAATGGTGGTCAAGATTAAACTTTCCAAGGAGAAAAAAGGTAAGACT